TATATATATATATATATATATATATATATATATATATATATATATATATATATATATATATATATATATATATATATATATAAAAACTGGCAATTGATTCATTTGATGCATTTGAGCTCAAACAGCCGTACTGGCTGAGCTTTGATAAAACCAAAATTTTATTGGCTGTATTTTGAAAAGGGGAAGCACTACTATGTTTCTTCATGTTTATGCTGAGATTATGTCAAACACTGAATAAAAATGCATATTTGAAAGCACTTCATGCGACCTTTAAATTTGTTTTATTCTTGTTTTGCACCAATTTGAGACTGATGTGTTTTTTTATGATTTTTTTGCATTAATTTGATATCCATTAAGATCTGTAATATTATTATAAATTATTTACATTTTAAAAGTCAGTTTTTGTTTGTATTTTATATTAAAACTGAATTTATTTCTTTGATGTAAAGCTGAATTTTTAGGATCAATTCTCCAGACCTCATCGCCCCATAGTTGAAACCAGAAGTTTACATACACTCTAAAAAAGGAACATAACCAGTTTTAAAAATAATGTATGTTGGTTAATCATACTAAAAGTTTTCTATTTTAGGTCCATTAGGATTATCTAAATCATTTACATTTGCTAAATGCCAGAACAATGAGATTTCTTGGTATTTTTTTAGCTTTGCTTTTAAACTGTATAAGTTTGGTCAAATGTTTTGCGTATCCTTCCACAAGCTTCTCACAATAGTTTGAAGGAATTTTAGCCCATCCCTCCTGACACAATTGGTGTAACTGAGTCTTGCTCGTACAAGCTTTTTCAACCCTGCCCACAAATGTTCTATAGGTTTGAGATCAGGGCTTTGTGATGGCCACTCCAAAACATTCACTCTGTTGTCCTTAAAGCACATTTTAACTAATTTGGCAGTATGCTTAGGGTCATAGTCTGTTTAGATGACCCTTTTGTGGCCAAGTTTTACATTTCTGGCTGATGTCTTGAGATGTTGCTTTAGTATATATACATAATGTTCTTTCTTCATGATGCCATCTATGCTGTGAAGTGGACCAGTCCCTCCTGCAGCAAAACAGCCCCACAACATGATGCTGCCACCCCCATACTTCATAGTTGGGATGGTGTTCCTTGGCTTGTAAGCTTTCCCCTTTGTCCTCCAAATGTAACACTGGTCATTATGGCCAAACAGTTCAATCTTAGTTCCATCAGACCACAGGACATGTCTCCAAAAATTATTATTTTTCCCAGTGTAATTTAGCAAATTGTAATCTGGCTTTTTTGTTGATTCTGGCTAATTGATTTTGCCATGTTATCACAAAAAGAAGCAGTGTGTTTGGAATTTCCTTAAACACTATTCCACAGTTGTGCTTCCAATTAACTCAAATGTTGTAAAGTAGCCAATCAAATACTTCTAAAACCCTTGACATCATCATCTGAGCCTTTTCAGATGCAAAATAATCTTATTGTTTGTAAACTTAACTTTCAAAAAACTTATAACAATTTCTCAAAAAAAATCTCTCTCATTATTCTGCTATTAAGCAGAACAGAAACAAATCTGATTATCCTAACTTACCTAAAAAGAAAAAGTGTAGTCACATTAGCATCTGACTTTTTAAAAATGGTTATGCGCCTTTTTATACAGTGCATGTAAACTTCTGGTTTCAACTATATATCTTAGGAAATCATTCCTTACTGACCACAAATGTTGTGCATTCAAACCATTATGCAATAAAACGCTTATTACAACGACTAGCAAGTAGCAAAACAGCGAATCATGATTTATGTCAATATCATTAACTAAAGGCAGTTTAAGTCCAAATTTGATTTGCATGCCCCATTTTTCTGTTTCAAAACAAAATAAACTGCTCTCGTCAGTTTTATAGGGTCTTTAAAATAAAATCTTGTAGAGTAAACTATTTATCCCTGGGAGTCGATGTCATATTCAGTTCGAGGCAAACAGAAATCCGGTTGCGTGGGACAGAATTACTGCCCATTCATTATGTCTTACTGTTTTAGGTTTATCACAACAAATAAACCGTGAAAGCATCTAGTTTTACTGCAAGTGTTTGACTGTGAAATGGGAAATGGATTGTAAAGTGCAGATATTGTATGATGTGTCTCTTAGGAAAAGCTGAAGGTGGGTCATCATGGAGAAAAAGCCCTGGAGAGCTTCTGTCACTGGCAGCACGAGGAATATGGCGCCCGATATCTAGGAAACAATCACGTTCCCGGCAGCAGAGATGACCCTCCTCCTGTGGACGCGGCTGTGCTGGTCACCAGGTACTGTAGGATCAATTTGTGGGTGTTTACTTGGGGTGCAATGTTTCCATGGTTTTAGTGTCACAGTTTCGGTACGGTTCAGTATATTATATTTTCAGTAAAAAAGGCATGGTTAAATGAAAATCTTAAGAAAAATATCTTCTAGCAAAAGCACTAGATAGCAAAGGCACTACTGAAATAAACAGTGCTTTTTAGGTTTTTCAGGTATCTATCAGTAGTTTTCAGCTACAGAAACTGTGGGGTTGGACAATGAAACATCTGGGGCCTCATGTATCAACGCTGCGTACGCACAAAAACTTTGCGTACGCCAGGTTTCACGCTCAGAATCGCTCACGTTTGGATTTACTAACGATGAACTGAACGTGGGAATGTGCGCAGCTTCACGGCAGCTTTATGGCTGGCGTACGCACATTTTTTGTGCGTGTCTGTTTTATTTCCATTGGCGACTCCTAGAGGCAGTTGTGTTAAATTGCTCTCTACAAAGTGTCTGAGCCTTGTAATGGCAGCTGAATGAGACGGGTTCATCTAGCAGGTATATAAGGTTTCCATACCATACAGTTGACCAGCTAAACATTAAAGCACAATTTGCAGCGGTCGCCTGTTTTTCCATTGTAATCTGAGCTATCTACTGCACACACATTGCTATAAAGACACTATCTGAAGATGAATTTGCATACGTGAATCAGAAACTTTTCCATTCAATAAATGTGCAAATAAAATATGATGCACAAACTTATTAATGATTCCTACTTGTCTTTCTCGTGATAAATAGTTGGCAAAAAAAAAAAAAGAGGAAAGAGTTCATCAGACGCTGGATTCGAACCGAGTTCATGCTCGAACGTGTCAAAACATGTTGACATGCGTCTTACGAGCTGCGCTACTGAGACTGTTAAGGGTACCGCAACATTTTACACGTATAAACCACACTATTTCTTTTTTAATTCACTCAGTGCGATGTTCAGACCCAACTGTGTTAACCGCATCAGCTAAACTCTCCCACTCTATTTTTTTCTTTTGTTGTTAATTCCGGAGAACAAACTTGCAAATTACACAGATTTTCTCCGGTCTACCCACGAAAGCAGCACCTCCAATTCACATTCTGTTCAAAGTTTCTCTTCTTGCTTGCTTTTGCCATTGCTTTTTCATTGGGTTTTGCCAAAGTAGAGTCATTAGCATATTCATACGGGGGAGGAGGCAGGGAGGGGTTTTGTGCTCGTGCATGTTGCGCTCAGTTTCACGTTCATTCGCATGTACAAAGACTTGCGTGGNANGGTTTCCTTTTGCAGCCTAAAGAGCATCAATTGGTCTTTGGAATAACAGATTCAAGTCCTGCACAGTGGCCAGAGAAAGTTTGAGTCATTCTTCTTTCAGATTAGTGTTCAGGTCACTGCGTGATGCTGGTGGAGGAAAATGTTTCCTGGGTAGCTCTTGTGAATGCAGGCCATGATAGATGTTCAACTTCATGTTCATCAAACCACTCTGTTAGCAGTCTTGCTGTGTGTATTAGTGCATTATCATCCTGATACACGGCACCGCCTTCAGGTTACAGTGTTTGAACCATATGGGTGTCGCACACCGAATGCATCGCTTAGCTACGCACCACTCAGTGCCATGCATTTTAGAATTCTCAACATAGGTTTCTATAAGGGAACGCATACCGGTGCCACCAGTCGGCGGCTGTCCGCGGGGCCCTACTACGACTCAGGGCAGTGTTCACATTTCTGCCGCACCACAAAGCGTCCGGTGTGTGTTACTTCTTACTGTTATGTGCGCGTCGCATGTGCGCCGAGCAGCACATGTGGTGTGTGACGCCCTATAGGGTGCACACGGTCCTCCAGAATGGTTTGCTAGTCCTTAGCAGTGGCACACTCATTTAGCACAAGTATTTGGCCTACTCTGGCCATGCAACAGTCTGGTTGGTACACTTCTTTGGGGCTACTCCACACCGTAATTCTCCCGGTTGTGGGAAAGACAGTGAAGGTGGACTCATCAGAAAACAATGCATGTATCACATTGTCAACAGTCCAAGATTTTCACTGCTGGCACCATTGAAACTAACGTTTGCACTTTGTCACGTCATGCATTTTTTTCTGATTGGATTGCTATCTGACATTACCATCTATTAAAATAATCTGATTAAATAACCGCTTCTTATTTGCACTTACCACATTCAATTCAATTCATTTCATGATTATTTGTATAGCACTTTTCACAATAATTATAGTTTCAAAGCAACTTTACAGAACTTTACATTATTGGGTTACAGCAGGGCTTAATTTGTGCCGGAACACACAGGATTCTCTGAAATCAGATTCGGCTCCTCATTTTACCGATCCCCCTCCTCAACGGCCCTTCTCCCCCATCCGCTGTTCACTTTCACTTCCTTCCGTGACTCCCCAACCCTCTTCACTTTCGTCCGCAACAACCCTGCCCCCCCTCCTCCTCTACTCCCCTTCGCCCGCTCATCCCTTCGGTGCACGACACCTCGAAATCCTCAGGTAACATGCCAGATCCGTTACCCTGATCTGTTTCAGGACCTCGCAAATCACAAATTAAGCACTGGATCAAAATAAAACAGATTTTGATCTACTGGATCTACAATCAAAATCAGAAATGTTAAGGTTATTAGTTACCATAACTTTATTAGTTACTAATATCGTTAACTAATAACAATAATTAATAACTCCTTATATTTATATTGCACACTTTTGGGGGGAATCTCCTCATCCACCACCAGACGGCAGCGATATTGTGCCAGATTGCACACCAAACACCAGCTGATTGGTGGAGAGGAGACAGATGAACCCTATGGTTAGGAGGCCATGATGGACAGAGGCCAGTGGGCAAATTTGGCCAGGATGCCATGGTTAAACCCATACTCCTTTTTAAAGTACATGGGATTTTTAATGTCACTAAGCAGCAAAGAGTCCCCATCAATATACTGGGGCATTAGGACTCACACAAGCCGCAGGTTGAGCGCCCCCTACCCCCTGTCTTACTGATAACACTTCCGGCAGCAACCTAACTTTCCCATGAGGTCTTCCATCCAGGTACTGACCAGTCGCAGCCCTGCTTAGCCTCAGTGGGTGACCATGTGAGAGTTGCAGAGAGCTAGCCGCACACTACTAATAGCTTTTAACAGTTGAAGTTACGACATTGATATATAAACATAAGCCCTTTACACACATACAGACCTTTTCGGAAAATTACCTGTCAATTTTCCAGAAAGGTCTGTATGTGTGAACAGGCCCCTTTTGAACATACTGGTAAATGCGTTATGGCTATTTTCTGGAAAGAGAAGTCGTAACATTACTGGTAACTTGCCGGATAGCTGCGCTGTGTAAACACAAAAGGAAGATTACCGGAAAGAGCACGCACACGTCTAGAACGTGCTGACGTGAGACGCCTATTGTAGCGCCAATCAGAACATTCAGACACATTCACATCTGCGCTGTTTATGAAAAAAAAAACCTTTGAATATTTTTCCAGACACATTTAGCTGCTGGATGTTAGTCAGATAACGTTTCTATGTTCCATATTTATGCCAACTGCGTAAATTATTATCAATAAGATGCTTATGATAAGTCGTTGTTTGTTTACCTTCAAGCTCTTCTTCCTTCAGTTGCTTGATGCGATGCGTGTGCACATGAAGCAGCCGGTGAGCGCCAGCACACACACATATATCATGTACATCTCAACATGCGAAAGTGTTCCTCTAGATGTTTCCATCGACGATGATCCATCCACGTTTGTAATGCAATCAAATGTTTACCAATACAAGCGCAGCCGTTTAGAGGCCATTTCTGGTCGATGATGTCAGAATTTACCGATATTTTGGAATGGATGTGTGAATGGTCTTTTCCTGAAAAATTCTGTAACATCTTGCCTGTGTGATTTGTTTTGAATTTTGAATTTACCGGTTAAGTCAGTCCAGAAATTTTCAGAATATTAGCCGGTATCACTGTGTGAAAGTGGCTATAGTTACCCTGCAGTTATACAGTATATAAGTGATGTTTAAGTGTACATATTCAATTATGGGTACATGTGTATTAAGTGTATTTGTCAACCCAAGCTCATTCTGATAATGTAGCTCCGCGGACGTTTCTGGAGACCACGATTTACATGGCCGGAGGTACGTGTGGCCGCATTTGGTTTTTTCGAGCGAACGCTACGGGGCAGTGTGTCGCCGCTCCTCTTCTTCGTGCTCACCGGCTGTGACGGATCACCTCCGTGTGGAGGGCTTTCCCGCCACAACTAGTTTGTCCGCTTAGCTCGTAGTGTTACGTTTTCGGAGCGGAGGCCCGGAGGAGGAGGAGCCGGCAGGCAATGACGGAATTGGTTCGAGTCCGGGGAAGAGCGGTTCCAGAAATCAGGTAAGATGAAAAACAGAATCTAAAAAATAAAAGCGAACGAGTTCGTGACGGGGCGAGAATGCGGCAAAATCCGAAAACTCAAAATCAGACGAGGGCTTTTGCTTCTTTTTTTTTCTGGACGGCTTTTGTAAATTGTCGCTTGGGTTTAGGGAATAAGGAGGAGGAGGGTGGCTGGGTTGGCCGATTGGCCACCCTCCCAGTTGATCGTTCAGTCATTCAGTCCGTCAGTCGGACAGACGGTTGCTCGACAGCGGCCTCCAGCTGCTTTTTGCGCGAGAACAGCACAGGCGTGAATGTCGCGCGCTCCCAAGAGGCATTCGAGACGCGAAAAAGCGCGGAACAGCGGCCTCTCTCGGATTTGTGAAAACAAAAACTGCACAAATTTCGCGGCCTCCAGAAACCTCCGCGGGGCTGCGTTTCCACAATGAGCCTGGGTTGGTATGTGTTGTCCTCGAAGACATCTATGCATCTATGCACATGTACATTATCTAAAGAAGCCGGCAAATTGAACTGACTGGTGAACATGATCCAAACAGAAACCAAAAGTGAATCCAAAAATCCATGACTGTACTTCTGTGTCCTTCTCGGAATAACCTAGGAACTTTGCTGTCTTTATATAATGCATCG